TGGCTGTCAAATTAGAATATGTTGTGATTGATGTCCTACTAAAGGACGAGACATGGCATACAGTAACCACAAACGTCGACAAACTTTATGATTCTCAAGGTAATTCTCACAGCATTCACTTCATGCTCACGTACTGTTTTGGGATCTTTAGTACGAGGACAATCAATGGGTGTCCAATAGACAACTGACTCTACTTTACATCCAGTTCTACCTCCTCTTCCACTTTCTTGAAAGCAGTCATCAATACTTCTAGGAGCCCCTAGAGAATAATTTTATTAACACCTTTCAGGTTTACTCCCATACCGAGGGCTACAGTGGCAAAAACAATTCGAACAACACCTTCTAGTTCCTCCATGCTCTTAAGTACAACATCTTTATTATACTGTGGGGTGTTAGAATGATACATTCCAAACAAACGATTCTGGCTTGTATGCTGAGAACCAGGTGGATAATAAGAGTCAAATCCAAGCTCATAGTGAAAAGTGGCATAAAGATCAGAGCACATATTCAGTGAAGGACAATACACAATGACACGTGCTGCATTGTTCTTATCAATTCTTAGAGAATTGATTAATGATGAGAGATCAAGCTCTATCTCAGTACGAGGTTTCACAGCAAAAAAATATTTGGCCTATCAGGACAAGTACTAATAACTTCGCATCCTTTCATATCTAGCAAAGATACCACATCGTCACGAACGCTCTTGGTTGCTGTAGATGTATAAGCCATAAATGGGACATGTTGTGGCACAAGAGCCCATATCTCGTGTATCTTTCCATAAGTAGTCCGAAAATCCTTACTCCTATTGTACAGATAAAATAGTATAATGATAAGCATTAGCATCAAAGCATGCATATCCAGTACATGCTCACCATTTTGAAACACAATGTGCTTCATCAACTACATTGGCTACAATTCTCTTAGCCATTTCTGGCGTCTCAATGACATCCCTCCACCTTTGTTTCAAAATGGCCTCGGGAATAGCATATACTATATTGTAATATCGTAAATCATCTTCTATAGCCTGAAGTGTTGAACTAATTCTAGAACTACTAGACATGATGGCAGCTTTTATACCACATTGCCTCAAATTAGTCACTTGATTAACAATAAGGGCAATAAGAGGAGACAGGACAATGACAAGAGAACAGGCTTGGGTACCAATTCTGCCCAATTTATAGTCAAATATGAATGGCAGGGTTTCAAAACAAACTGACTTTCCAAATCCAGTTGGAAGCCAAACAAACACATCTCTTCCTTTCAAAATCATACTAATAGTAGCAATTTGCTCTTCTTTCAGCTTCATTTCTGAAATACCAGCTTGCTCTAATGCATACTGCACAGCTTCATCATCAGCCATTTTAATGACATTTGTGGGAGTGAATAGATCTTTCGTGACGTTGCATAAGCGAAGAAAATATGGAATAAAAACTATTTACCCTAGATCGTGGGGAAATTAATGCGCATGCACAAACAACTGATACCAGGCTCAATAGTGAGTCTCTAGAAGAAGAGCAATGCCCACCTAATCTCCTGGAAGACCCCAAAGGAGTGCTTAAGTACTGGTTGCCAAGACTTGTGTCAGAAATTCAGAGAAAGGACAGAAAGCCCTACCCTCCCCATACTAGGCATCAAATTCTATTGGGCTACAAAGGCATATGCTCGATCTCAATCCCTATGCTCCTAAGTTTATGGATCAGAAGAATCTAGCCTTTCGACATCTTCATAATTTTTGTGACTATACCTATTAAAAGCTTCACAAGGATGGTGTAGGCAGTAATGTGCATCATGCTTCTATTTTTTCAGCTGAAGAAGAGGAACAGTTATGGACATCTGAGTGCTAGGACTCCATTCACCTGTGTCATTACAAGAATACAGTATTTTTCTATGCGAGTAAGCGATTTTGTATATGAGGAGGA